GTTTTAGAGTATGCTCATAACATCTTCATGAGCCATAACCTTTGCCTCTAAGATTATGTACATTAACAAAAAATCTAAAGTCTTAAATATAACATTCAAGTGACTGTTTGTTTGCAGCTTGCTTTTCCAGTCTTCTGGGTGACTCCATGTCTACGTCATCCAGGCAAGAGATAGCCTTCAACTCTACTCCTTATATTCCTCTGTTCTCTGTTCAATTCTGACCCTTCAACCTGAAATGCATTGACATGAGATACCCACCTACTCAAATCCATCTCAGTCTTCAAGGCCAGGCGTATATCACCACTTCTGTGAAGCCTGTGAAGCCTGTCCGGATTCCCCTATTGCTCTGCTTTCCTGTAGCATTTGTCACATTCTGTCCCACAGTAAATGTTGTGGCAGATGTTGTACCCTGGCTCACAAGAGTACCAATTCCCTAGAGGTAGGGACCTTCTTATGTTCATGACCCCTACTTTATATAAGACACTGTACATAAATTTTGAGAAAGTTTTTTGAATGAATGACTAGCTGAACTCTCAGTGTGAGCTTTTTCCTAATGTATGTGCATGATTGGAGTGGTATGTTTGGGTTGGAAGAAGACTCTCCCATTTCTTTCTGATTGTATCTTAAATGCACTGGCTGGAGTTGAGCCTAGAGACAATCACAGTGAGTTTGGACTGATAACACTTCCTTCCAGTGGGTAGGGGAGCCTAGTTTGGACTATTCTTGGCTCTGTGGCCTCTCTCTCCATTGCTTCTGGGACTACTATCTCATGCCCCAGAAACTGCTTACTTTTTTCTGCCCATAGCCCTTCTTTCCATCATAAAAAAGATAGTAGATGGTACCCTATGAAGCCTCCCAGGATGCACAAGAGTGGGGATAGTAACGAGAGGGAACATAGGGTTAATAGAGAAAATGGAAGGAAGCCACGGTGTCTGGGTCTATAGCTCAGAAAGAGAGCACTTGCTTAGGAGTTTCAGGGCTCTGAGTTCCATCCCCAGCCCCAAAAAGAAACATCCCATGATTCCTCCTCTATATTTGAACCCCGCCTGATACATGTGGTCCAATATCACCTGAAGAGCTCAAGGAGGAGTGAAGAAAAAGCCTAGCAGTATCCCCCATTCTTAGGCCAATAAGAGTGTTTTTCTGATGATCAGAATTCTCAGAGCCTCCTGGACCAGAGTTGTCAGTCATGCTTAGCTTCCTATTTTTTTTCATTAGAAAAAAGCAGAAAAGAGAAAATCAGTAGCCCATAGAAAGAAATGGCCCAGTGGAGAATTATGATCCACTTTAGCATACCTGAATCACAGTGACAGATCATTAAGTAATGTTTCACTCTGCATCAGCTGCCCTGCCTGCCCCAGCCGTCAGCTGCTTTGCCGGCCACAGTGATGATTTCATCTGCCAGAGTGAAAATCTCTGAGCAACCCACAAATGCTTCAGTGGCAAAGCCTCAGCAGCACTGGGTTAGAAGAAGTTGCAGGACAGAACAGGAGGTGGGAGGAAAGAAAGACGAGGTCCCAGCAGAAGAAAGCCAGCTAGGCCTTCTATCTGCCAGGTAGTCCAAGATGTCAACAACCCAGTAGGCACAACCAAGTGAGATTCTGGATACCAATGACTTGCCAACAAGAGGGAAGGGCCTGACTAGGACTATGGCTACACAGACACCAAGCATGACAGAATAGGATGTTGAGCTAAGATGGTCACCTACATGACAAGGCAAATATGCTAAGACACCATTTGTTTGGTGGTGGTGTTTTTTAAAACAGGACCTCATTCTGCAACCCAGGCTGGCCTGGAACTTGGTCTTCCTAATTTAGCCTCCCCAGTGCTGGGATTACAGGGCTTGAACCCTGCCAGCTTGACTGTAAAGGATGTGCTTGTAACTATCTCATTGTTCTGCATTCTGGAGGTCTGTGAAATCCAAGCTTGGGGTGAAGGTTGTGTACCCATCCAAGCAGAAATCCCTCCTCAGGTAAATGGAGTACAAGGGTGACTAAAGAGAAAGAGGCAGTCAGTTTGGAGAGGTGAGACAGAAATATGTTGGAAGGCTTTCGTAGAGGCAGAAAAAAAAGGATAAAGCCACCCGTAAAACTTCACACATCAAGTAGCTCCTCATTTCTCCTCTTCTGGGAACCCTTCCCAGCAGCAAAATGGACCAAAATGTCAACCCCTCTGCTCCTCAGAGAACAACTTATAGTCTCTGCAAAGTACCAAGAATCTAAACAAACAGAAACTCTGCCTAAGAAAAGACGTCATCAAAAGTGAGAGGACCTGTCTTACATAGAAACTAGGTCTTTGAGAGACTGAACCTGTGATTTGAGGAATACCTCCCGTATTATTTACTGGTCCTAACAAGTCATTCAGATAAATGAATATGGCTTTAATGCCTACTCAACTGTCCTGGGTATGCGACCCACTCTAAGATGTTCTAAGACAAACTCCAAATTCGACACTTTCCATGGGCTCATTTCCCTTTGTGGGTGACTTTGCACCAATGACATAATTTCAGAGAGCAACTTACTAAGAGGAAAGAGACTTACCATAAGCCTTCCCTGACTGACGGATTTCACAGAAAACTTGAAATGATTTAGGGACCATCTTCTTGCAACTTCCTCTCCCTCATCTAGTACATGTAACAGTAAGCTAGGAAGATGAACTCTGCCTGGGAAGTCACCTGTCTGAAAGTGACAAGGGTGTTACTGGATTTCTATATGATTAAAATCATCCATGTGGTTCCTTCAAAACCATCACCATGCTAGAAGACACTTTATAGAATGGAGATTGACACACCAAAAACACTTCCTGTTGTGTTAGCACTTCAGAGAAAAAAAAATACACAAAGGAACTTTGTTAAAAGAACAAAATTGGAGTAGGCATAGAACTGACAGTTGTTTATCCTGATAAAATAAAAGAGGTGTTTCCTGTTTTGAATAAAGGGAAGGTTTAACTAGCCATGACAATTGAGACAATTATTAAATTCCATTGTCTTAATGGTAGCCCGTTGATTAACTGTGGTGAATGATTAACCTCATCTCTGTTTTGCAAGCATAATTAACAGCCAAATCATGTAAAGGGTATTCAGGTGTACAACTGGAAATAGGTTTATTTGAATTAAAGTTTTCTCCATGAGGTTAGGAGAGCTTGAGAACAGCTAATTCACTCGGCGTAAAACTTCATTTGTTGGACATTTCTTTCAACATTCTAAAGCCAGTTGTTGGATGTGACCTTACTGAGAAAAGCCAGTCTCTGATCTTGGGGTGAAAAGCCATACTTCTGATCTTAGACTTTCTCAGAGTGTATTTCCATCAGAACAATTATTCAGATGTGTTCGGCAGTGACAAATCTTCACCTTCCGAGCAATATTTGCTGTTGGAAACACAAAGTCACTCAGAACAATCATGGGTGATTAATACACAAATTGTCTTAAACATAATGTGGTTTTCTGGAGCCCAGGAGGCTAAATGCTTAAAAATAATTTTTGAATGTTCATTCCTGTGAGGTGAGGAAAAAGGCAATGTCTACCCTCCCGAGGCAAAGGTTAAGTTTCGGTAGGTTTGGGACTCCCTGCCCTAACCACTGCCTTTCCTTCAGTGCCTCAGTGAAGCCACCTTTCCCTGAACTGCTCAAGCTGCTTGGTTTCCGTAGGACAATGAACACAGGGAACCCACTCTCTGGAAAAGGAATTTGTGACGGTGCTGTCTCAGTCTGCTTTCCGTTGCCCCCAATTTTTAAAGAATAGCTGTTTGTTTCACTAACGCGTTTTGAGGCTGGAAAGTCCAAGAATTTGATACTGGCATCTGGTGTGGACTTTCATGCTGTATCATGAGCTGGCAGATGCATCACATGAGGAAACAGAGCAAACATGCTAGCTTGGGTCTCTCTTCCTCTTCTTTTTTTATTTTTTGTCTTTTTTTATTTTTAAATTTAAATTAGAAACAAGGTTGCTTCACATGTCAATCCCAGCTCCCTCCCCTCCTCCCACACCTTCCCACTAACCCCTTCCTCCCCTCCCCCAATCCCTACTCCTTTCCCCAGGGAGGGTGAGGCCTTCCATGGGGGGTGTCCATAGTCTGTCTTTTCATCCAGGACAGGGCCTAGGCCCTCCCCCAAGAGTCCAGGCTGAGAGAGCATCCCTCATTGTGGGATGGGCACCCAAAGTCCATTTGTAAATTAGTCACTAATGCCATTATTGGGACTACCCTCTTGACTTTATCCAATCCTAATTACCACTCAAAGGTCCCACCTACATGTACTGTTAGTATATGTCTTTGGGAATTAAAGTTCCAATCATGAAATTTGAGGGTCAAAGTCAAATCATAGCACCATCTCTGACTTAGAACTTAGTATAGCAGCTTAGGGACCTTAAGCTCCAAGACGAAACAATGTTGTAATTTTTGCTCTAAATTTTCTTTCATGAGTCACCAATCACTTTGGTCCACAGCATCTCTTGCTCTCTTCATGGCTCTATCCTAAGACCACCTTTCTCAGGTGGATCTTCAAATCTAAATCCTCAAGGGGGGGGTCTAGGTAATGAGCGAACTTTACCAACTGCCCCATTAGGAAGAGTCCTTACATTGGACATTTTGTATACATCAAAGACAGCCTTACCCTCCTTCTCTAAGCAGGCAACCAGGGGAAGGGAGCTTCCACTAGAAGTACATGGACAGCAGTGTGGCTGGCACTGTTAATTCTCTTTTGAAGCTATTCTTACTGTGTAAGAGCAAAGAAAAAGCAAGCCTCAAACTTTCAAAGAGGCAGGGTTGGCCTCCATGCCTCCAGTGCCCCAATTCCTACATGGCCCACTATGCCCTCTCCTGTGCCAACAAGCAGGATCATTCTACCCCCTGTGCCCCACCCAGGGGTTTCCACCCCCTCCTCGGCAACCCATGGATCTCTCCTCCCCCATTCACCTGGACTCCCAATCCGATGTCTGTGTCCCTTACAAGAGTCCAGCAACCCTCCCCATCCTAGGTCTCTCTCTGTCTCTCTTTTGTCTGCAGGGCCTGCCCAGTCCCTTCCTGCGCTGCCCTTCGCAAAGACTCTTGGATCGTGTGGTTCGCCGCTATGCTGAAGTGGCTGATGCTGGCAGTATCTTCATGGACCATTTCACTGACCGGGACAAACTGCGACTCCTCTACACCCTGGCTGTGAATGCACACCCCATCATCCTTCAGGTACTCAGTGACCCCCACAATTCCTCCAGGTTATGTTATCACCTTGGACTTTCAGAGCCATCCCTGGGTTGATTTTTCTCCCCTTCTGCTTCATGTCCTGGGGCCACAAATCTATGCTAGTACATTTACACCATCAGGTAAGTGCTTGAGAGCCTTGGCAGTTAGTGAGGAAAGAGGTCTGAGAATGCAGGGCTGTATATGTAGGTAGCAGGCAACAGCAGCCAACTTTACAAGTCGAGACATCCAGGAAGGGCTTTGTGAAGGGAGGCAAATTTAATCTCTGCCACTAAGATAAATAAGTTTTTAGCAAGTTCAGGGACTGGCAAAACAGCCACTCAGATATGTACCTTGGAAAGGAGGAAACTGGAAATGGCATAATTGAAAAGTGGTCAAATAAATGAGGATGTACTAGGGCCTGGGGACAGACACAATTTAGTCAAAAGGATAGACACACTTACCATGTTAACAGGCACACATAGAACCTGTAGAGCTAGGATTCCCCCAGACCAAGGATCATCAGGACAAGGACACCTAAGTCACATAATGGACAGAAAGGACATCAGAAGTAGGAAGGGAGGAGAAGGAGGTGAAAGAAGAGTAAAATGTCGAGGAGTGGTCAGAGAGGAGGAAGAGCTCGGAGAGGAAAAAGGGAGGAAAAGTTGTCCATCGTGGTGGTACAGGCTGTATGATGAGACCATCTTTTAAAATACTGTAATCTAAAAATACAGGTAGAGAAGAAAGGATCCACAACAAAGACAGTTTCTAAATATTTGCCAAAAAGCTAATGGTTGACTGCATGGTGAAGACTGTTGGTTAGTTGGTTCTTGCGGCATTCCAGGTGTTGTGATGAAGATTTACTATCATTGTCAGTTAGTTCTCACTGCAAGCCCCCGGAACGATGTTAGTAACTGACTGGGGCTCAGAAACAAGTGTTTTAACCACTGCCAGCCAGGAAACCTAAACCCAAAGACATCAGAGACATCAGAAACTGCCCTCTTCCCACTAAAACCTGCCCGGTGTCTTTGGCATTTGACATACTAGTGGCAGAGAAGGAGCTGCTATTTGCCCTACATGCTCAGGGGTCTTCTTGGAGGTCTTTTACTCACAATTCTAACTTTTGTTGGCACCTTGGTTATCCCAAGGTCTGGCTCCTGAGATATCTGACCTGAGACCATGGGGCTGAGAGACTCCACTCAACCCTGGGCTTTACCCAGAAAGAATGCAGTATGGGATCAAGGAGTGGCTTTACACATTTAAAAAAGGTCAGTAGTTCCAGGTTGTCCCTTGGAGACACATAGTATGTAAGGTGCCCCAGGTAGGGGAAACTAAAGCGACAAAGAGCAAGATTCTTTATGACATGACTTAAAGGGGGTAGAAGGTAACAGAGAGAGAGAGAGAGAGAGAGAGAGAGAGAGAGAGAGAGAGAGAGAGAGAGAGACAGAGACAGAGACAGAGACAGAGAGAGAGAGAGAGAGAGAGAACCTTGAAGTCTACTTTTTGTTTTATTTTCTGCAGTGCTGTAGATGGGACTCAGGGCCTTATGTGTGCCAGATAAGCAGTCTTCCACTAAGATGCACCACCCAGACTTACTTTGTTTTCTTAAGAAGGCAACAAAGAGGAAAGTGGTGATTATAGTTTTCATCATCAGTTCTGGACACAGCTCCATTGGAAAAAACAAAGGTCAACAGTTGAGATTCTAACATGGACAGGGAATATTCTACATGGTCCTACTAATAGATGAATACAGACAGTCAATGGCTACTGAGAGAGGGAGAATCAGTCTTCTCCATGGACAAACTCCCACATAGATTGTCCAATTCCAAATGGACACCTCTGGTGACATATACACATGAGTAACACTAAATGGATTCAGTAGGTTGTATATACATGTGTGATTAGATATGTATATAAATATATGCATCTTGGTGTAGCAATAATAAAGAATAGATCATGAAATTTGGAGAAAGAAGGGGGACACAGGAGGAACTGGAGGAGGAGGGGAGGGTGGGAGTGATGGAGATGTGGAGTTTGTTTATGAAGTGCAAAAAAAACACACAACAAAACATTTTTAAAAATTGTCAATAAAAATCCACCTAGGATTCCCTCCTCACTTTGTGTCTCCCAAATCCATAAGTTGAGATTCTTTTCCAAGGAGAAAGGCTGGTATACCCCTCCCCAGACCAGTGTTAGTCTATCTGGAAGCTTCCCGACAGTTGAGAAGAATTTTTGAGTGTGTAGTCACCTGAGCCATGCAGATTTGCTCAGCCTAGCAGTGGGGACAGTCACCTGCATTATTCTTGTCCTATCACAGAACCAGGTACTTTCATTGTTCTGTTTTGTTCATTCACTTATTCATGAACTTTGTTGACCAAACTGGCCTCAACCCTCCTGCCTCATCCTCCTGAACAGCTAGAACTACAGGCACACATCATACCCTATTTGTAATGTACTATTACTATTATTGTTGTTGTTGTTGTTGTTATTAATCCTTAAGTTGCCCCGAAATTGATCTTTTATAAGTTTTCCCATTGCTTCATCCTAAGCAATAGTATCTTCGAAAGTGCAAACTAATTATATTTTTTAAATGACACAACTTAAAAAAAAGATATTCCCTGAATCATGGGTACCACTGAAAATCACTGAAGGTTGGTTAGCATACTCAGGTCCCACTTGGAGAAACGTGTAAAATCTGAACCACCGCACACCAATGAGAGCAACCTCCTTCCTGAGTCCTTCCATTGGCAATACACTGCAAAAGTGGGGGAAGGGCAGGGGCCTTACCATGTTCCAAGAGGTATAAAAAGATGGAGAAATGTTTTGCCAGCATGTTTGGAGATCCAGGCTGGCAGTGAGATTATTTGTGTGTGCTGTGAGCTAGAGGTAGAAGCAAGCTGCCTCTGTGAGATTTCTCTCTGTGTCTAATGCCTCTCCTTCCGGCTTGGCAGATCTTCCCTGGGGCTGAGGGCTGGCCACTGCCCAAGTACCTGGGCTCCTGCGGTAGATTCCTGATCAGTACCAGCACCAGACCCCTGCAAGAATTTTACGATGCACCTCCAGAGCAAGCCGCTGACCTTGCCTACCAACTCCTTGGGATCCTGGAGTCCCTAAGGAGCAATGATTTGAACTATTTCTTCTACTTCACCCATGTTGATGCAGACATGTTTGGCATCTTTGACAATGGGCATCTGTTCATCCGGGATGCCAGTGCGCTAGGCGTCATCGACAAGCAGGAAGGTACTCAGCATGGGCTGGGCTCAGCAGCTGTCAAGGGGGATGTCCTGGTGTCCAAAGCTAAGGAGGCATCCTGGGCCTTTGTACTCTCTGTGTGTCACAGACTAATCCAAGTTTTGGGAATGTGTTTGGTCATAGAACAATGTCCCCTCAACCCCACTTGAATTTCTGTTTCATCTTTATTTCCAAAAGGAAAGGGAACTTGGCCTTGCCTGAAAGGCGCATTGTGCACGGTGGTTTGAACCCCTGATGAGCAGTCTGTATCTCATTCACAGGCCCCTCTCTCCCTCAGAGCCTTTCTCCTCGGATGCTCTGAGCCTTGATCTGAAACATAACTGCTGGCCTGATGCACTAGTACCCTTTGCAGTCACTGTTGACGTAGTGACTCTGTAAAGTTCTAAAATTACAAAAACAAGGAACTGAATGAGGTGTATGAACAGTCATGTTTCTCGCTCTTTACAAAGGCTCTGCCAGTGTTCTAGAGGCCATTAAGCCCCAGTTTCTCAAGGTGACCAAATTTGCTGAGCCCAATGACAGGACAAAAGATTTTTCCTATTTCTTACACTCTTTAAAAAAGAAACAAACAAAAACTGCAAAAAATAGAGAAAACAAACGCTTTCTTCACTTCCTGATTTGCCTTTAAGAAGAAAGGTTGATCCCACAAACATCGGTCCCATTGCCACCTGCTGAATGCATATTGTGGATGACATATTTTCCTCCCCGACTTTCTATCCTAAATGTGCAATTAAACAAATCTTAATACCATCCTCAATTTCCTAATTCATTAGTAACAGGAAAGTAACAATGTGATTATAATTTCCACAAAACTAGCCAAGCTTTCTGATAGAGACAATTAGGTTTCCCTCACTTGGACCTTAGCATAATTGTAGGACAGTGTTACTCAATGCTGTTCTCCAAAGGGGCTGTTGTATTCCTGAGCCCTAAATCTTCTGGTGATAGGGAAATATTTAGAGACTAAACCACTTCAATCAGCAATTCTAATTGGCAACGCCCCACCCCAGCCGCCTTCCCATCTTCCCCTCATCCCCCATCCCCCCTACAAGAATAGGTTGTACAGTATCTGATATTTTTCCATCTCTCTTATAGGCAGCCAAGCAGCTGCCAGGACTGGAGAGAAAGAAGACATTTTTAGCTGCCTGGTTTCTGGCTGCCAGGTCCAGCTGTCCTCCTGTGACACTGTCCCTGAGAAGCAAAGCCTGGTGCTGGTGTGTCAACAGTTGCTGCCTCAACTTCTCCAGGGAAAGTTTCCCTCCCCCGAGCAAGAGGATATAGACTCTGCTCTCAGCCTGTGTAGCAAGGATTCTAGCACAGACATGGAAGTTTTAGGGGCCACCAGCCGGCTGAAGGACATCTTGAGACCGCTGAGAACCTGTGATCCCAGATTTGCCTACCGCTACCCAGACTGCAAGTATAATGACAGATTCTGAGTGGCTGAGGCCTGACTAGCCTAAAGGGGCAATCCACAAGTTCTTCCGTGTCCCTGATTGAGTTAATGCCAAATTGGAAGAAGCAATCCCATTTTGCATATTGAAGTACATTCCTTTCCTAAGAAACACTCAAAACTAGTGAAAGAAACTCTGACACTGCATACTTGACACCACTGGCTAGGACACCGTGGCAGAGTCAGGAGGTGAGCATAGGAAGACTCAGATGTGAATGCTCCATTTCTTTGAACCTCTGTTTTCTCTGTACTCTACCAGGCTCTCACAAGATTAAGAAAACAGATGTAAAGTGCCCAGAAATACAGTCATGATCCACAAAGCATGTTCCAGAAGCATACGTCAGGAGGCTGGTATAGGTAGAGGACAGGGTGAAGGCAGGGGTTTAGGCTACTGGAACTTAAGCTCTCATTCCTACTCCCTTGCCTCTGTGAGTCTGAACCCAGCAAAAGGTAAGCAATGCAAGAAAGATGGTCTGGCTATCTACCAGACCAAGATGGAGCCATATACCAAAGGAGCTCCATATCTTCCATGAACAGATCTGTTTTATTGTGCTTGTATATTCAGGCTAGCCCGAACAGGCTGTGGCAGTGTGCCTGCAGCTTAGCCACAAAGATAGATTTCAGAGCACAGAAGCCTGGGGGCACCAAGTAGGTTCCATTGCTCATTGTAGCTGCAGCCTGGGGCCAGGGTCTGCTCTTTTCCATACCACATGCTCGAGCACAAGACCTAAGGAGTCCTAGATTTTCATCCAAATGCAGCCTTACAAGTTATTGTTTTAAAAAAATTTTTTCAAGGTCAACCAATGGAATGCATTTTCCTCAACAATGATTATTCTGTACCTTTAAAATGTTTAATTATGTGCTATGGGCCTCTGTGCATGCCTCCTTAGCAATCATAGAGGGTTTTTGGGCCTTTGCCTAGCCTCCCTACTAGGCCTCTACTCCTGGGGATTGTTCAGTCTACCTCCTTTCTTCCACCTCTAAATCAGCACCTTGGAGGTCAGAACACCGAACTAACAAGCTTCCCTGTACTCATAGGGAAACAAAGGCCCAGGGAGGAAGGGATTTGCTGCGATAATGCTGAGGACCTCCCTACCAGTTCATTCCCCTGTTGCCTTCCCTATCAATCTCAGACTCCCATCTTGAACTATTCAATTCTAATTTCTAATCTCAATCACATTTAAGCATGAACCCCATCGTGGGTTATACTGGATGACCTTTTGATTTTGCCTTTATACTGCTCCAGACATTGTCCCTGGCAGCCACACTATGAGACTGACAGGCCAAACTGCTGCAAGAAGTGGCTTGTCATGCCTGAGAAGCTTTAAAACTGATGTCCTCTGGCTGACTGTTGAGAAGGAAGTCTGGCCACAACTCCTACCTGCATTAGCACACTGGCTTGCTTGCAATACATGCGCCCAGCCAGTCTCCCGACAAGAACCCAGGAACTACAGCTTCACACTCTCCAAAGATGCACATGCACATAAGACTGTCCCCAAGACTCTCCTGTACACAAGCCAGTCCTGGCCTCTCTCAACAAAAGACTGTGAGTGACTTTGAGTGAAGCCCTGGGAGAATTTAAACATGGAATTTACCATAACCCTACTCTTACCTCTCTACCACCTATCTGTGGAGCAGGCAAGAAGGGCGAACAAATGAAGAACTCTCCTCCAGACCAATGACGTGGAATACTAAAGAATGGGGCTGCTGACTCTCGGAAGGGAGCACAGCCCTAGATACCTCCTGAATCAGGACAAAGATATCTTATGTCCTCCTTGATCAAATCCTAGGAGAAAGCAAAGAATAAAACTACCCGAGTAACCCCAGGGCAGTGGGATACTTGCTTTTAGTACAAACTAAAGCAAACTCTGTGTGTAGGTGTGTGCGTATCTGCAGAGTAGGCCGAAGGGGGACAAATAACTGTAAAGCAGGGCCTAACACTTTGGAGTGGCCTGGAAATGGCTCCCGAGCTAGCAGTTTTTGCGTGATTGGGAGTTTGGAAAGTTCCTTTCCTCATGCATTTTGAGGACAAAACAGACATGTTCTTGTTGTCGTGACTGAAGATCACAGACCCCTCCTAGGTGCTATCTCCGAGGGACATGCTCCCCACTCTCTGCCATCTGTTGATTCTCTGCTGCTCCCTATCTGTGACACAAGGGACACCTCTCTCTCCAATGCAGGCAGCACTGACTGCCAGCCCTTTGGGCGCTGCCTGGGTCACTCAGTGGCTTCACTCCAGGCCACACCCATCCTAAGGCATATCCATACCTAGTCACTAGGGCTTGACGAGATGTAGTATCTCAACCAATTTGGCCCACTTAGCTACAACTCTGATGGGTAATTCTCATTCCAAAACTTTCCATGCATCAGACCAAGAATTTGCTGGGCCTGCATCGTAGTCTAACTTGCCCCATCCCTCTTTATCCTCTGAATTCTTTTCATGGGTGTTGGCTAAACAGTTTGTGCCCAATAGCAGCCAAAATGGTAGCTCCAGAAAAGTATGTTCACATCTTAGTTCCTAGAAACTGTGATAATTACCTTAAGGTTAAGGATCCTGGAATTTTCCAGGATTATCAAAGTAGGTCCTAAATGGCAGCCCATGTGTCCTCATATGAGGGAGGCAGGGGGACTTTTAAGAGAGAAGAACCGATGATGAGAAGACAGAGGTTAAGATTGGAATGAGGCAGGCAGTGGTGGTGCACTTTGATCCCAGCACTTGTGAGGCAGAGGCGGGCATATCTCTGTGAGATCCAGGCCACCAGCAAGTTTCAGGGTAGCCAGGACTGTTACACAGAGAAAACCTATCTTGAAACACCAAAAACAGAAGGAAAGACAGGAAGGAAGGAAGGAAGGAAGGAAGGAAGGAAGGAAGGAAGGAAGGAAGGAAGGAAGGAAGGAAGGAAGAAGGGAGGGGAGGGAGGGAAGGAGGGAGGGAGGAGGGATTCTTTTGCCAAGGATGTCCCCAGCTGAGACTCCTAGAAATAGTGGAGAGGGTGTCTGAATGGGCCTTCCCCTTTAATCAGATTAGTGAATACCCTAACTGTCATCATAGAACCTACATTCAGTAACTGATGCAGTGACCCACAGCCAACCACTGGACCGAGTTCCTGGAGTTTAGTTGAAGAGAGGGAGGAGGAATTATATGAACAAGGCGGGGTCAAGCTCATGATGGTGAAAACCACAGAGACAGCTGACCTGAACTAGTGGGAGCTCATGGACTCTGGACTGACAGCTGGGGAACCTGCATAGAACTGAAGTAGACCCTCTGAATGTGGGTGACAGTTATGTGACTTGATCTGTTGGGAAAACCTGGCAGTGGCACCAGGACATATTCCTAGTACATGAACTGGCTTTTTGGAGCCCATTCCCTATGGTGGGATACCTTGTTCAGCCTTGATACAGTGGGGAGAGGCTTGATCTTGCCTCAACTTGGTAGGTCAGACTTGTTAACTCCCCAAGGAAGGCTTTGCCCAATTAAGGACTGGATGGGGGTGGGAAGGGAGGAAGTGGGGACGGGAGAAGGGAAGGGAGAGGGATCTGGGGTTGGTATGTAAAAATGAAAAATAAAAACGTTTAAATAAAAAAATTGGAATGAGGGCAACTATAAACCAAGGAACTCCAGCAGTCCCCAGGAACCGAAAAAGACCAGGAATGGCCTCTTCTGCAGATCAGAAGGAGCATGAATCTTATGCTACCCTAATTTCAACCCAAGAGCTGTGAGGAAATACAATTCAGTTAGTTTGTACTACCTCCTGAGAGAGGATTTAAATGAGTCCACAGGACCCAAGATAAATGGTAAACTAATAAATGGTATTTGTTAAGGAAGCACTTACACAGATAAGGGTAAATAACCGCTGCGGTCTTCCTGCTCCAGAAGGTGCAGTCTCTGCCCTTCTGATGCTCTCACCACAACCCAAGAGAGCAAGCCAGCCCCTTCTCTTCCTTATAAGGGGTCACATCTGAACACCTGAAGCCACGCCCCTAGGATGTGGCCACCACTGCAAGTACGCTGGCAAACCAAGATGCCACCACAACCTCCTTCTTAGTAATTTGTTTGAGAAACTTCAGGAATCCACTACATACTCCAGAATCTACTGAAAATCAGCTTCCAGAGAGCTGCACCTGCAATACTCATTCACAGTCTCCTGTGCGCAAAAGGAAAGTAATTCTAGGGCTGATGACATAGTGCACTGGTAGAGCACTTGCTTAGCATTCTTGGGGCCCTAATTTCAGCCCCCAGTACAGCAAAAGTATGTTGTGGCATGGGGAAACATAGGATGTGTCCCCATCCTGGGCTGAGGGCTTCCTTCCTCCAAAGCTGTAGACACCACTGAAGACTCCGCTCAATCCTACATTTATGCAGAGCCTTTCTTTTTTTTTTATTTTCCAGTTTAAATTTAGATAAGAAACGAGGTTGCTTCACAAGTCAGTTCCAGGTCCCTCTCCCATTCCCTCCCCTCCTCCCGTGCCCTCCCCCCAAACCCCCCCCCCGTTATCCCCTCATTCCCCCAGGGAGGGTGAGGCCCTCCATGGGGGTGTCCATAGTCTGTCATTTCATATAGGGCAGGGCCTAGACCCTTCCCCAAGAGTTCAGGGTGAGAGTGCACCTCACATTGTTCTATGGGAGTCCAAAGTCCGTGTGTATACTTGGGATGGGTACTGATCTGCTGCCCAAGGCTCAATAGATTACCTAGGCCTCCTCACTGACACCCAGATTCAGGGGGTCTTGATCAGTCCCATGCTGGATTCCCAGGCTGATGCCTGGGATTCAAGAGTCAACCTTTGTCTGGTCAGCTGTTTCTGGGGGTTAAACCAGCCCAGTCTTAATCCCTTTGATCATCAGTCCTCCCTCTCTGTTACTGGCTTTCTTGAGTTCAGCTCAGTACTTAACCGAGGGAGTCTGCCTCTTCTTCGATCAGCCACTAAATGAAGTTTCTGTTTCCCAGACTCTCTGGCCATAGGATTGTAGGCTGGCACTCCCCAGATCTATGTCTAAAATCCATATATGAGAGAGTACATGCCATGTTTCTCTTTTTGTGACTGGGTTACCTCACTCAGGATGGTTTCTTCTAGTGTCATCCATTTGCCTGCGAATCTCATGATCCCATTATTTTTTTCTGCTGAATAGTACTCCATTGTGTAAATGGAACACATTTTCTCTATCGACTCTTCAGTTGAGGGGCATCTAGGTTGCTTCCAAGTTCTGGCTATTACAAATAAAGCTGCTATGAACATAGTGGAACAGACATCTTTGTTGTATGAATGGGCATCTTTTGGATATATGCCTAAGAGTGGAGTTGCTGGGTCTTGTGGTAGGTTTATTCCCATTTTTCTGAGGAATCTCCATACTGATCTCCAAAGTGGCTGAACCAGTTGGCACTCCCACCAGCAATGGAGGAGTGTCCCCCTTTCACCACATCCTCTCCAGCATAAATTGTCATTGGTGTTTTTGATTTTAGCCATTCTGACAGGAGTGAGATGGTATCTGAGAGTTTTTGTTTTGATTTGCATTTCCCGGATGGCTAAGGATGTTGAGCACTTTCTCAAGTGCCTCTCAGCCATTTTAGACTCCTCTATTGAAAACTCTCTATTTAGTTCTGCAGCCCACTTTTTAATAGGGTCCTTTGGTGTTTTGGAGACTTGCTTCTTGAGTTCTTTGTAAATTTTGGAGATCAACCCTCTGTCAGATATGGGATTAGTGAATATTTTTTCCCATTCTGTGGGCTGCCTTTTTGTCTTGCTGACTGTGTCCTTTGCCTTACAGAAGCTTGCAGAGCCTTTCTTGACAGGCCAGTCACCACAGATCACTTTCTGAACCCTGTCCCTGAAATTCTGGTCCACACGCTTGTGCCACTTTGAGTGTGGTTTCAGGAAGATCTGTGTCCTGATTGCCCATCCAGCTGGGAGCTTGCCGAGTCTGGGCGTGATGTGGGGGGGAACTCTGTGTTCCCCATGACAAGGGAGGGCTGGCCACAGAGCAGAGGCTGAGAGCAATGAATGTCTTCTTCAAACCTTCCCTACATTGTTCATACACCATACTGGCTACCCATCAGATGGAACCACTTCTCACCAGGCAAAAGACAGATGCGTCAATACTCAAGAGATTTCAACCAGAATAAAATTATCACCAGCTAGTCTCTACTCCCTGGGATTAGAGTGGAGGCATTATTTTTCCAGGTTATATCAGCCACGCCATTCAGCCCGTAGGTCTGGCTGTATGGTTTGTGGAATTCAACGAAAAATGGAAATATGAAATGGACCTATACACAAACAACTAATGGTTGCAAGGTGAGACAGCAAAGCTAAGCTGAGGCCCTCTACTGTGTAGCTTACAGCTCACCGAGCTGGCGCAGGGGGTAGACTGCACATATGGATTCTCCTTACACTTGGCATTGAATGTTGCTGGCATTTGCTGAGGGCTCATTTATCCTCCACATTGAAGGGCAGCAAGTGTAGGACAGGGTGAAATATAATATAGGCCTATGAGTTCAGCCTCAGCCAGCTACAGTGATCAGGAGGTTATAAAGACAGCCCAGCCCACAAGTCTGACTCAGCACAGGAGAAAGCTGGCTTCAGTGTGTTGTTAAGTGTGGCAGTATTTTAGTCTCCTGTCTGTGGTCTTGCCACATCTGACTTCTGCCTGTAGGTGATTCCTTAAGTCTGAACATTTTCTCCGGTGTTACATAAATACTTTGTTGGAGCTGAGGTCTTTGGGGAAAGTCTTGATCTCTGGGAACAGACTGGCTTGCAAACCATGAATGTCCTGTTTCTGTGTAACTTTAGCCATGCTATTTACCTTTTCCAGGACTCATTTTCTACATGCACA